AACTTCCTAGATAAGATCTATGACTTCTTATCCCAGATATGAGTTACATATCTAAAATAACCTGTCTAGGCTTACTGCTTTCACTATGCCTGAGTAACATCTGACATTCTATTATCACTGCCACTAACAAATTGTCAAATACTACACAGATACATGTAATCCTGTTCTTGTAGCAGCACAATCAAAATAGGCAAGTTATGGAACAAGCCTAGATATACATTAACACATGAACAGATGAAGAAAATATGGTGTATATACACAATAGAGTTTTATTCAGTTATAAAGAAGAACAAAATTAAGTCATTTAAAGAAAAATGAATGGAACTAGAGAGCATAATGTTGAATGAAATAATGCAGACTCAAAATCAAGGGTCAAATGTTATCTCTCATATGTGGATACTGGAGAGAAACAACAAAGAGAAAAAGGTATTACAACAAAATAAGACAGACTAGTAGAGAAGAAGATGATCAGAAGGATGAGTACAGGGAAAGGACAGGTACTAGGAAATGAAATTTACCACAGTATGTTATGTACGTGTAGAAATACACCATAATGAAACCTACTATTTGTATATAATTAGACACTAATTACAAAAGAAAAGTGAAAACATAAATGTGGGAACCTTAATTGGCACATACTTTGATTATTTAATATTAGATATATACTTGTCATTTTCCTTGTATGCTTCTAGATGGCATTCCACTAATTTCCACTGGTAGTACTCAACAGGTTAAAGTTGTTATAAAACCTACAGCACATTCTGTATTGCATCATAAACTAGAAGTGCATATTTTGGAATCTATGATGTACAGACATGAGAACATATTTAAAAAAACTATTTAGAAAGATCTTTGAACTTCCTCTTCAGTAGGTGGAAGAGGATAGCTCTTTGAGGGTAGGATTGGATTCCTGACAAAGTGAAATTTTCATCTTTTGTACTTGAAATAGAAAGAAGAAATGCAAAAAATCATGCATTTATCTGAAACATCTGCTGCCTTCAAATTTATGAGAACAGAATAATGTTGCAAAAATAGAATAAAGGTGAGCACTTTCTACTCTGACCCTGAAATGAAGCCCATTTTATGTTTGATTCCTACCACTATTTGAAAGAGATTAAAATAAGGGGAAATGCCAAGAACTTTGAGAGATTAATCATTTGGATATTAATTTGGGTGTAAGACAAACGACTGATTCCAACCTTCCCACCCCCAGAAACAAAGGTAAAATGGAAAAAGGAATAAGAAATCCCAATCAGTCAGAAAGTGTAGGCAGAGTCTCAAGACAAACTTCATTGACTTCACAAGCATGCAACAGGTATGCATATCCAGCTGACATACTCTGCCTGTGCATCTTCAAGGCAAGAGGAGTTTTGTGTCAGGTAAAATGACAAGGAAGGCTAGAGGTGGTGAAAGCCTTTGGGCTCCTCTTTAGCCTACACTAACAGCACTTCTTTGTCTTCCCTGCCTGAACACTCACTTGAACCTGTGACACCCTATTGTGCAGGAACTCATTTTGTGCAGAGGAATGTCTATCTCAGACACAGCTGTCCTCAGTCTCTGTAATGAGCACAATTTGAGACTGTCTGGAACAGGGTACAGAAATGAGACTAGAAGAAGGCAGGAAGGGAACCGAAAACTTGGGATGATATGCAATTCCATCTATTGGGTGACAGGGAATAAACACAGTAGAAAATGAAAAAGGAATCAGGTGCTACCTGTTTCTTGGCATCCTGAACCTGAAGAAGCACAGGTGCCCAATCCAGGGATGCAGTGGATGCACCATGTGTAAGTACAGGAGGGGAGCTCTAAGGCTCACTTGTCCTGGGAGCACATTCTGCAGACACTGTGAGGTGTGGATATGGAGGTCAACTGGGTTAAGTGGGTTCAGAGAAAGGACCTGTCTAGCTACTTCTAAGGACATCAAAGACATTTTGTTATATTTCAGATCTCTTAGACTCAGTATGTTTGTGCTAATGCATGTGGGACTATGTGTTTGTGTGTTCATCAAATATGTGCTCCTGTATTTTAACTACTTATTCTATAATATTGTAACATTCGTGTACAGCTACTGTGCAAGAATCAGCACGATATAACTCTAAGACCTTTTCATCAGGATAAATATATCCTCATGTACATCATGTAAATTTCCACTATAACTTTCAGCCTCTAACAGTTTCCTTGTATGGATATTTTACACAACTGTTTTGTACTGTCTTTCTTCTTTCATACAGTATAGTGTTTTTGAGGTTCCTTCCTATTGTAACATGTATCAATCAATATTTCACTGCTTTTCTTTTCTTTCTTATTTTTGGCCAAATTGTATTATCTATTTCATAGCACTTTTGAAAAGTATTACACGTAACTGAAAATCAAACCAGCATCCGTATATTTCACATTGCAGTAATTGTTCTAATCAGTAGTAATTTCTCTTCCATATAATCCACTCCAACAGTGAACTATGTAGTCTCAAAGGATTAATTATGTGTTTGTAAAATGTTTTTATATTAGACTAACACAAAGACATGATTTTTAAAAACATCTGTAGTAAAAGAAAGAAATTCCACTGATTTCAGCACTCCAACAGATTACCTTGTTACCCTCCAACCCAGAATGAATACTGTATACAGACTAAATATTATTTCTCAATTTCTCCAAAATGATTGTAACTCTTATTTAGACTAAGCTTTAGACAGAAAAGGTGACTTCTGTTTTGGTACTAGAATTGAACTCAGTGGCACTGGACCACTGAGTGACATCCTCAGCACCATTTTGTGTATTACTTAGAGACAGGGTGTCACTGATTTGCTTAGTGCCTCACAGTGATGAGCTGGCTGTGAACTCACAATTGTCCTGGCTCAGCCTCCTGAGCTATTGGGATTACAGGCACGCACCACCTACCTGGCTAAAATGGAAATTATTAAGTCAAACAGAGTCATCATTTGTCATTTAATGCCTTGATGAAATAGTGTCAGTTAATGAAATACCAATAATTTCCTAATCAGTTTTGACAGAGGTATACATACTCATTTAATCACATGCTAATGACACCAAAGAAGGATATACATTGCAAATTTAAAGTTAACTGCAATTAACTTTAATTTAATTATCTCTTAAATGAGTATATTATATGTTGTCTATGGCCAATACCAATGCACTCTGCTTTAATTATATTACTTAGGATAGTCAAATTACTTTTCATATTATTAAAAAATATCTGTGAGAAGGATATAATTTGGCTGCCATCTGCCATTTGGAGAAGCTGATTTTAGGTATATGGTAAGCGAATAGAGGCCCACTAATTAAAATTTAAGAACAGGATATAGTGCCTAAACAGGATCATCAACACCTGGTCATGTATATAACCAGGGTAATACTTCTAAGTCAGGTCAAAGGTACAGATCTTGTTTTAAGTGCCTTATGTCCAGTTTAGATTGAGAATTCATAAGGCTATCTATGCAGAGCATGCCATCATAATTATCATTGCAATTCAGAAAACAAACAGAAAGATAACAAGCAGGGACTTGGACTTCTGTAGGACTTGAAAAAGCCCTTTGTTATGTGTCAATAAGGAGAAGGGACCCACACTTTGCCCATATTCTGACAATCAGAAACAGTGAATTATCATTAACAACAAAGATTAGTCATCAATAACACCAAAACAGAGAATCTTGCTAAAGTTTATGTTGTGTGTTAGTGAGTATATTCCTAAGAAATTGTAAGCAAAATAGCCTCAAGTCCTACAGAAGGACAGTTATATAGAAACTCATGGTTAAATTGGAGTGAAACTGTAGTTAGAAGACCCAGGTATTGGTGAGAATGAGTACAATTAAAGAAGGGTGAATTCAGGGTGTAGGGGAATTATGACAAATAAGTTGCTTTCAGCTATGCTTATTTGGGATGTAGCAAATATTATTTTTGCTAGTACAGGATCTTTGAGCAGAAAACTGTTAGTCATAACAGGTAACAATTTGCTTTTTGTGATTCTCCAGATTAGGAAGTGGTGGACACAGGAAACAGCACAGTGGTGACAGAATTCATCCTCCTTGCTTTGACCCAATCTCAAGATTCCCAAATCCTACTCTTTGTGCTTGTCTCAATATTCTACCTCATAATCCTCTCTGGAAATGTTCTTATCATTCTTAATATAAGATCAGATCCTGGACTTAATGCTCCCCCCTATTTCTTCTTAGGAAACTTGGCCTTCCTGGATGCCTCTTATTCCTTCATTGTGGCTCCCAGGATGCTGATGGACTTCTTCTCTGAGAAGAAGGTGATCTCCTACAGAGGCTGCATCACCCAGCAATTTTTCTTGCACTTCCTTGGAGCAGGGGAGATGTTCCTCCTTGTTGTCATGGCCTTTGACCGCTACATTGCCATATGTCGGCCTCTACACTATGCAACAGTCATGAGCCCCAGGGTCTGCTATGCATTGCTGTTGGCTCTGTGGCTTGGGGCCTTTGCCAACTCCATTGTGCAAGTGGCCATTATCCTGCACTTGCCCTTCTATGGCCCAAACCAGCTGGACAACTTCTTCTGTGATGTACCACAGGTCATCAAACTGGCCTGACACCTTTGTGGTGGAGCTCCTGATGGTCTCCAACAGTGGCCTGCTCACCCTGCTATGCTACCTGGGCCTTCTGGCCTCCTATGCTATTATCCTCTGCAGAATAAAGAGACACTCCTCAGAAGGGAAGAGCAAGGCTATCTCCACTTGCACCACCCACATTATCATTGTGTTCCTCATATTTGCACCTGCCATTTTTATCTACACCCACCCCTTCCGGGTTTTCCCAGCTGACTAAGTGGTTTGTCTCTTTAATACAGTCATCTTTCCTTTGCTGAACCCTGTAATGTATACACTTCGCAACCAGGAAGTGAAATCCTCCATGATAAAGCTGTTATGTCAGCACAGGGTGTTCTAAATGGAGTAGAAATATGAGTAAATCAACAGAAGAGAAAGTTCAATCAAAATGAAATAAATTATTTCTTTATGCAGTGAACTAATGAGTCATTTAGTAAACATACTGTTACCAATCACTTTCAATTTTCAGGCTGTGTGGCATTTGAAGTAGATAAACAATATCCAGGTGTCCTAGGATTATATTCAAGTGAATAATACAGGTGAAACTATCAAATCAGAAAAAAAATATCAACAGCAGTGCTACATTGTAGATTGGGAAGGTACTAAATACCTTGCTTTTAATTGTCAGTAAGGTATTCTGACACAAATCAGCTGATCTTTGGGATTCAGCTGATACAAGATGTTCTGAAAGAAGTACCACACAATTACCTGAGATATTATAGGAAGAAATGATGACTAATAAAAGGAAACACAATTTTATAAGCTTGATACATTTGAAGACCACAAGAAGAATAATGTAGCTTAGTGGAGTTGAAGCAGTTGAAAGTGGCAAGAATTGAAAGAAGAGAGGTTGGCAGGTGAAAGTCTCCTGAAGTATTTCAAGCAATGGAAAGAATTTGACGCCATTTAAACCTCAAATGCGGTCATAAAAGGCATTAAACTGGAGAGTATTAATATTTTCTACCTGCCTTAAGGAAAAAGCCTCAAGACTCTGGAGGAATGTGGGAAAAACAATTTCATTAAGTAGAAAAAATTAATACTGTTAAGTAATTTAATCGTGCCTTAACTAGTTGTTTTTTCCTACATTTGAAAAGTGTTGTGATTTCCCTCACTATTGTTGTTAATCTTGGAGAGGAATTTGAGTTCCCTTCAAATGATTTCATCCTGAATGTAATTATGTTGGCTATTTGGTATGTTAATCTTTATTTAGTTATAGATGACTAAACTACTTCAATTTCTTTCTTTCTTTATTTGTTTGCTTGGATGGGGGTAATACGAGGTATCCTATATTTAAAATAGTTGAATGGGTGGTAAATGCAGCCTATGAACTTGGAATCAAGTTATATACATTATTTATATTATATAATCAAATTATATATACTATTTATATTATACATAATATAAATTATACATATAATTTAATTATATATAAATTATATATATATATATATTAATTGACCATATATATATGGTCAATTAAAGAAATCCTGTCCTCATAGCAATTGCTAATATGCATAGTACAGTAATTATTTTTCTATTTCAGGCTACAAGATCACAGAACTGAAACTGTGTGCAATTCTCAGGAAAATAGCTCAGAGCTTTTCTAGTTCTAGTAGATATCTTCATATAAAACAGAAACCTTATATCCTGCAGTTCCTATGCCATTTCCCTGGTTTCTGAATTTAAGACTTACTAAGTCAATCAGAAATTGTAAGAAGACTTTAGGGTCTAATTTTTATCCACGTTGCCTCTGGAGAAGACAAAGTTAGATTCTGTCTTAAGAAGACTGGAAATCAGCTTCAACCTACAGTCTTCTTTGGATGAACAAGGGCTTTCTAATTGTTTGTTGTGAGGTGCTGCCTTGTGCATTGTAGATTGCTGAGTAGCATCTCTAACCTCAAACTACTAGAGGTAAAGTTTGTCTGCACTTGAGACTCTCTGGGTTAAGAAGATTAGCTTTCTGTGTGTAGATCTGATAGTAATAGGTTAACAACCTCATTTTGCAATTAGTACATGATCTAGAGCCTATGCAACCTATGATTTTTTTAAAAAAACTGTATTCATAGTATAAAAAATCACTGGAAAATATTAGTATGCTATCTAAATATAAGAAAAAATCATTTGTATTTTTCGATAATATCCATACTATGAAAGAAAATAATTTCATTAAACTAACTATGATGACTGTGTTGAAAATGGCAGAAAATAATATATAAAAAAGATAAAAGGTTTGACACGTGGCACATGCCTTTAATCCTAGTGGCTCAGGAGGCAGAGGCAGAAGGATTACGAGTTCAAAGCCAGTCCTAGAAAGGGCAAGGCACTGAGCAATTCTGTGAGACCCTATCTCTAAATAAAATAAAAAATAGGGTGGGGGTGTGGATAATTGTTCAAGTACCCCTGAGTTCAATCCCCATCACCCCAAAATAGATAAAAGAATTTCAACAGAAAATTATAATTCAAGAAATCTTCAACTAAAATTATATTAATTAAAAATTATTAAAGTAATAATTCATCACGACTTTAAAATTGATTAAACACAGGAAACTACAAAAAAGTTAGCTAGAAATAAAGTGAATAAAAAATTCAAATGAAATGCAAATTGGATAAAAACGAAAAAACAGGAAAGGGTATTAGAAATATGTAAGATACAATGGAAATGTCCTCCCTATGTATAGTTGACATCCAAGTAGTGTGGGAAAAAGAGAAAATGGGAAAGATGCAATATTTGCAGAGGACTTCTACAAAGTGATAAAGGGCATCAACATGGACCACATGGACCACAAGTCTTTGGTCTATAAGCAGAATAAAGTTTT